GCTTCCTGGCTTTTAATCCCCTTTCTCCTGCTCTTCTGGCCTGCTGCTTTGGGCGTCCCTGAGTTGTCTCTCCTCACCTGTAACCCTGGGGCTGATTTTGGGCCTTTATCAAAGATCAGCTGACTATAGGTCGATGGATCTATTTCAGGGTTCTCAATTCTATTCCATTGGTCTATGTATCTGTCATTAAACCAATACCAGTAATGGAATAGCTGGGTCAAATGGTATTTCTAGTTCCAACTTTTGAACGAATCACCATACTGCTTTTCACAGTGGTTGTACCATTTTACAGTCCCACTAGCAGTGTATGGGAGTCACAGTCTCTCCACATCCTCACCAGCATTTGTTATTTTGTGCCTTGTTGAACTTTGCTACTAGTGCTGGAGCAAGATGGTATCTCATTGTTGTTGTTTTGATTTACATCTCTCTAATAGCTATGATCGTGAGCATTTCTTCATATGTTTGTTGACTGCTTGAATGTCCTCCTTGGTGAAATGTCTATTCATGTCTTCTGCCTATTTTTTAATTGGATTGTTTTATTTCTGTTATTGATGTTTTGGAGTTTTCTATAAATTCTAGAGATAAGTCCCTTGTCAGATATATCAGTACCAAATATTTTTTCCCAGTCTGTAGGTTCTCTTTTGACTCTTTTGGAGAAGTCTTTGGAAGCACGTAAAAATTTAATTTTAAGAAGGTCCCAATCATCTGGTTTCTCTTCTGCTGTTTGTGCATTTTGAGTTATGCTTGATAGTCTATTTATGCCATATATTAGGGCCCCTAAATTTGCCCCTAGTTTTTCCTTGAGGAACTCTATAGTTTTAGGTTTCACATTTAAGTCTTTGATCCATCTGGAGTTCGTTTTTTGTGTATGGTGTGAGGTACAGATCTTGTTTCATTTTTCTGCAAATGGATCTCCAGTTTTGCCAGCACCATTTATTAAACAAACATTCTCTTCCTTATTTAATGGATTTGGGGCCTTTGTCAAAGATCAGCTGACTATAGGTCGATGGATCTATTTCTGGGTTCTCAATTCTATTCCATTCGTCTATGTATCTGTCATTAAACCAATACCAGGTATTTTTGACTACTGTTGCTGTATAGTAGGTTTTGAGATTTGGCAGTGTGAGATCTCCTACTTTGATTTTCTTCTTCAATAGTGCTTTGCTTATCCGAGGTCTCTTTCTTTTCCATTTAAAGTTAGTGTTTGGTTTTTCCATATCCCTAAAGAATGTTGATGAGATCTGGATTGGGATTGTATTGAATGTATAGATTGCTTTGTGTAGAACTGACATTTTCACAATGTTCAATCTTCCTATCCATGAGCATGGCGTGTTCTTCCATTTATGTAGATCTCTTATGGTATCTTGAAGTAGTTTTTTATAGTTTTCTTTGTACAGGTCTTCTGTGTCCCTGGTAAGATTTATTCCCAAGTTTTTTATTTTTTTGGTACCTATGTAAATGGTATTGATTTCCTTATTTCTTTTTCAGTGATCTTTCTGCTGGTGTAGAGGAATCCATGTGATTTTTGGATGTATATCTTATATCCTGTCACAATGCTAAATCTCTCAATTAGTTCCAGTAGAGTTTTGACAGAGGCTCTTGGGTTTTCTAGGTAGAGGATCATATCATCAGCAAATAGGGATAGTTTTTCCTCTTCTTTACCAATTTTGATGCCTTTGATTTCCCTTTCTTGCCTTATGGCCCTGGCTAGGACTTCCAGTACAGTGTTGAATACAAGTGGTGATAACAGGCATCCTTGTTTGGTTCCTGTTCTCAAGAGGAATGGTTTCAGTCTCTCTCCATTGACAATAATGTTGGTTGTTGGTTTTGCATAGATGCCCTTTCTAATGTATAGGAATGTCCATTCTATTCCTGTTTTGCTGAGAGTTTTGATCAGGAATGGGTATTGGATTTTATGAAATGCCTTTTCTGTATCAATTGATATGATCATGTAGTTCTTCTACTTTGTTTTATTTATGTTGTGGATGACTGATTGTTTTTCTAATGTTGAAACATCTCTGCATACCTGATATGAATCCCACTTGGTCATAATGAGTTTTTTTCTTGATATGTTGTTGGAATCTATTGGCTAGGATTTTGTTGAGGATTTTTGTATGTGTATTCATGAGGGGTAATGGTCTGTAGTTTTCCTTTGGAGTGATGTCTTTGCCTGGTTTTGGTATCAAGTTTATGCTTGCTTTATAAAATGAGTTAGGGAGGATTCTATCCTTTTTTTATGTTTTGGAATAGTTTGAGTAGGATTGGTATCTGTTCATCTCTGAATGCTTGGTAGAATTCTCCAGTGACACCATGTGGGCCAGGACTTTTTTTAGTTGGTAATTTTTTGATGACCTGTTCAATTTCTTCTTTTGTGATGGACCTGTTCTACTTTTCCCCATCTGTCTGTGTGAGTTTAGGTAAATGCTGTATTGTTTTAGTATTTGCTCAATATTTATGCTGGTTTTCTTTTTTATTTTAATGCAGAGGTGTGTCATTTTTCTTTGAGATTACCCTGTGGTTTATAGTTTTCTTTCAAAGTGTAGAACAGTCCATTCTATCTTGTAGTTGTCTTGACTTCCCTACCATCTAGAAGTTCTGTGACAACACAGATTTTTTTTCCCTCTTTTTGGTTTGTAGTTGTCCTCATTTGTTGGTTAGTGTCTCCAGTTCCCTGTTTACAATCTTTGTTGGCTTATTTACTTTGGATACTTCCATAGCTGGGTTGGTTTCTGGGTTATATCATCATGTGTGTAATGGTCAGTTGTTGTTGGTTGTTGTTGCTTCTCTGTCCAAAGGGCTCCCCTTTAGTGTCTTTTACAAGGTTGATGTGGTTTTAACAAATTCCCTTAATTTCTGCTTATCTGGGAATGTCCTAATTTCACCATCATATTTGAGGGACAATTTTGCTTGGTACATAATTCTTTTTTGGAAAATTTTCTCTTTCAGTGTTTTATGTATACCATCCCACTGTCTTCTTGCCTGCATGGTTTCTGTTGAGAAATTCGAGCTTAGTCTTATTGGTTGCCCCTTGTAGGTAACTTCGTTTTTCCTGTGTTGCTCTCATGATTCTTTCTTTGTCTTTGGTTTTGGTGAGTTTGATGATGATATATCTTGTTGTTTTTCTTTTGGCATCTATCCTGTTTGGAGTTCGTTGGACTTCCTGAATGTATATATTCTCATCTTTCATCATATCAAGGAAGTTCTCCTCCAACAAATCTTGGACAATTTTCTCAGTGGTTTTATTTTTCTCTTCCTCTTCTGGAATTCTAATGATACGTAGGTTATTCCTTTTGATGGTATCCCACGTGAACCTTAGGCTTTCTTCATTTTGTTTTGATCTTTTTTTCTGATTGATCCTTTTCCAAAGAAATACTCAGGTATTTGTCTTCAATCTCATTAATTCTGTCTTCCATTACATCAATTCTACCCCTTTGCCCTTTCAGTGTGTTATCAATTTCTGACAATTTAGTATTAATTTTCTGGATTTCTATCTGTAGATTTAGAATCATTTCTAATTTTTCATTTATTTTGTCATTTTGTTCTTATATTTTATTCCAAAATTCTTCTAGGGTTTTGTCTTTGTTTTCCTTGGTCTATCTCTTGATTCTTTGAAGCTATCTAAATGTAATTCTTTTGAATTCCTTATCAGGGAGTTCCAATGTTGCGTCTTCCCCTGGGATGTGTTTGGGTCTGTATCCTGGTCCCTTGTTTCTCCTGCTTTATCTTGTTTCTTTGTGTGGACTGTGACGCTCTGTTGTCTTCGAGGCACTTGTGACATTTTTGTGTTAATATTTAATTGGTGATTATATGTTAGAGTGACTTGCCCACAATTTTTATTTTCTTTGTTTTGTTTGTATATTATCTGCGTTAGCAGGGTACTGTGCTGTGTACTCCTCCATTCAGTAGTTGACAGCACTTATACACTCACCACCTGTCCCCTTTCCTGTTGTCAGCCTCTTGTATGTCCTTGCCACCCTTGGCAAACAGAGCCTGTTCCTAAATCCCTGGAATCTGAATGAGAATGCTATCACTTTTAAAATCCAAAATGGTTGCCACTTGTAGACATTCAAAATTGTTGTGCCCTCCATCACTTTAAATATCCAAAATGGCCAACACTTATGAACATTCAAAATGGCTGCATTCTCGGTCACTTTAAATATCCAAAATGGTTGCCACGTGTGAACAATCAAAATGGCTGCCCCTTCCAGACAGCAGAAAGTCCACAGCTCAGGTTGTCTCCCTCCTTGCTGTTTCCCTTCCTAATCATAGGCCACCAGAGCAGTTGTCCCTGCAGCCCTTGGTGACCAGGACTGATCTTTATGTCAATTCTCAGGTCCCAACACCACTTGGAAATATTTAGGCTGTTGGTCTCTTCAGAGTAGCTGACAGTCTGCAGGTCCGACCCTCTCTGTACTCACTGTTTTTGTTCAGGTTTTTCCACTAGTTGGTGCCTAATCCACCTCTGTATAGTTTCTTTCAAAGTTCAGGATTCCAGGATTATCTTCTGTATCTCTGTCAATTGGTTTTTCTTTTCTTTGTTGAAGAGGGTCTGTGTCACTTGTGTGCCTATTCCTGCCTCTTCTATAGCCTTAAATTTTATAAAACTTTTTGGTAAATACATTATAATTTAGATTTCTGCGTCTAGAAATGTACCAGTTTATATCCTAACCAGTAGTAGAGGAATTGTTCCATCTCAATAAATTCTCTCCTAAGTTGAATATGATCATTTAAAACATGTTTTAAGTATTTACACCAGAAAAGATAACTCGTTGTTTTGCTCTTTTTTAAAGTCATTAAGATTGTTGGATGAAGAAGAAGCAAGTGATAATGATTTAAGATCAAAATTCAAGGAACGCTGGCAAAGGACACCATCCAATGAACTCTATAAGCCTCTAAGAGCAGGTAAAAATGTTCATGAAATGACTTTCGCTTGAATAAATTCCTAGTTTGGATCTGCTATTTATCTATTTATCTATTTATTTATTTACTTGATTAAATTAATCATATTTTTGCTGAAATTGAGTACTGTTAAGAAGGCTCAATTGTTTCCCTCCGTCATGTAAGATTAAAAAAAGTAGTTAGCTTCTTTGTAAGGAGTTCAGATTCTTATGAAGGGTGTAAAGTGAAAAAGAAAATAATCCATTTATTCTCTTTGTCTGTTCTAAGTAAGCCCTGTGCATTTTTTAAAACACAGATGTGATCTTACTTATACGTATGATTTCCTAATTCCTTTTTATTTAGTAATGAATTCTGCATGCATAGTGATAGATGAGTTATCTATCACTCAATAGTTAATAGTTACTCTGAAGCCAAATTTTATCTTTGAAAGAGTTTGATTATTAAAATTTTGTACTTTTATAATAAATGGTGTGTTTATTGCGGCCAGAGGCTTGTTCTTTATTTCTCTAAAAGGAATTATTGCTGTTGAGATTTTTCTGAAAATATATCTATTGTTTTTTAAATTAAGTAGAAGCATGATCCTTTGAAAGAATACTTCTAAAATAAATTGTAGCAATATTTGGATTTGGTGATTTCTTTCTATATTTGTGAATTGTAGGAAACGATTACTATATAGCTTTTATTTGATGGACAGTAACCACCAAATATAATTTAAAGTATAACTGTGCCTTTGATTTTATAAATGATTTTGTCATTTTTCCAAAAACAAAACTTTTAGGAACTGTGTTTTGATTTATATAGTGAATTGGAACCTGTAGAAGGGGATAATAAAATTTGGGGCCAGAAGTAAATGTACAACCAGCCCATAAACATCATTCTTAGATTTAGTCCTATGTTTGGGAAATTTTTGTTTTTTTACCAGAGGGTGCCAACTTTAGAACTGTTTTGGATAAAGCTGTGCAAGCTGATGGACAAGTGAAAGAACGCTATCAGTCTCACCGTGACACCATTGCACTTCTGTGTAAGCCAGAGCCTGAGCTAAATGCTGCCATTCCTTCTGCTAACCCAGCAAAGACCATGCAGGGCAGCGAGGTGAGAAGACTTTCCTTGATGTGGGTGGTGGTCTCCTTAAAAAGCTATCTTCAAGTCCTTACATACAGTGAACTGCCAATTTCTCTTTTATTGGTGTATTTTTGAAATGCAGAAGTAAATTGGAGTTGTTACATTTAAAGCATTCTGATATATACTGTGTAATACATAATTATACTAAAATTACTATCCTGTAATAATGTTTTACTTAGATTTTTAGAAAGGCAGAGGGTTGTGAGTACAAAAGTTATCTTGAAGCGGGACTAGGTTTTGACCAGATACTCAACTGTCTACAAATTCTTCGTTTTCTACATCATACTATACTTAAGGAGCTCTGATGGTGTAGTGGATAAATCATTTGGCTGCTAACCAGAAGGTCAGTGGTTCAAAGCCATCAGCTGCTCCGTGGAAGGAAGATGGGGTGATCTGTTTCCGTAAAGATTTACAGCCTTGGAAAGCAAATGAGGGTCTCTATGAGTCAGGATCAACTCAACTAGTTTTTGACTAGATACTTAATTGACTACACATTCTTTGTTTTCTACATCATACTGTACAACCTTCCAGCATATTCTGTTAGGAGTACCTTTGAAGGGAAAATTGATAAGGTGTGTGTGTTAATAAATGGACATCATCATGTATTTCTGATTGAGGTAAGCAGAAGTCAATAGTGTGGCAATTGATTTAGGAAGTCCTAACAGGAAAGTACAAGCATTATTTAGTGGATGGTCACTGTGAGAGAAAGCTATATAGTGGGATAAGCTAGAGACCCTGAAATGTACAGGAAATAAGCCAAATGACAGAAATACTGCTTAAAACTTCTTGAAAAGGTAAATTTCTCAGGAAAGGAAGTCTCACAAGGTATCAGTGTTGTTCTTGTTTTTCCACAGAAGCATTCATCTATTCATTCAGCCAAGACTTAGTTGAATATCTGTTTTATGTAAGGCAGTATGGTAGATGCTTTGAAAAATTAACAGGTGAATCACACATAGTGTTTACATTCAATTTATGGTCTACTGTAGAAGATTTGACATGTACAAAGAAACTGTAATATGAGGTAGAAATTAAAACTGTCAGAAGGAAAGTACAGTGATTATGCTGTGGAGGTTTAAGTGATGAAGCACTTCTTTTTTCTAATATTTAGAGCTCCTCTTTTAGGCAGCTTCTTTAAAAAATGGGCCCATTGTGAAAACAGAGTAGATAGGCAGAAAGGGTAAACATGTATAGGATCCAAGAGAGATTGAGTGAATGAGTGTGTCCAGAGAAGCTATTAGAGATGGTTATATGACAATTTAGTGGAATGGCAGCCACAAATGCTGGGTATCTCTCAAGGAGAAGCGACCATGTAGTCAAATATACAGAACCTGAGACTAAAGAGGGGAACCGCATGGAAAATGAATATGAATTAGGTACAATGAAGAGAAAAGGAAAATGATCAGAAGATTAATTTATGAAGAATAGAGACTACAGACCCATGGAACAATAACAATATCTAATCCTTTTTTATTTTAGAAGAAAATGTTTTGTAGCCTCTTTTTCTTCTTGGTATCTTATACATGACTCAGACATGGCTTTTATACTTTGATTCTCCTGTTTTCAATGTTGTTAGGTGCCGTTGAGTCGTCTCCAATTCATAGTGACCCTATGTACAGCAGAATGAAACACTGCCGGTCCTGTGCCAGCCTCACAATCTTTGCTATACCTGAGCCCATTGTTGTAGCCACTGTATCAATCCATCTGGTTGAGGGCCTTCCTGTTTTTCATTATCCTTCCACTTTGCCAAGCATGATACCCTTCTTCAGGGAATGGGCCCTTCTTACAACATGACCAAAGTAGGTGAGACGAAGTCTGGCCATTCTCGCCTCCAAGGGAGCATTCCGGCTGCACTTCTTCCAGGACAGATTTGTTAGTTCTTTTAGCAGTCCATGGTACTTTCAAGTGAAAACCGATTTTCAATAGGAAAGCAAAAATGGTTTGTGGTAAGTAAAATCAGAATTAACATGCACTGATTTGTTGATACTTTATTCAGTTGTAATAATGGCTACTTTTTATCCAAAA